GATATCCCCTCTTTCAGTTCTAATGTTAATTTGTGTCCTGTCTCTTTTTTCCCTAGTTAGCCTGGCTAGAGGCTTGTCAATTTTATTATCTTTTCGGAAAACCAGCTCTTGATTGCACTGATTTTTCTCTGTTGGTTTCCTGTTTTCAATTTCATTGATTTCTGCCTTAATTTTTTTTATTATTTATTTTCTGCTTATTTTACTTCTGATGAACAGAAGTTCATAATTTTAACATAACTGAATCTAGCAATGTTACCCTTTGTTTTGTACTTTTTGTGACTTGTTTAGGATGTATTTTTGTGCCTTACTTAAGAAATCCTCTAGGTTGAGGTCATAAAGCTATTTCTTACATTATCTTCTAGAGATTTTCTAGTTTTTCTCTTTCATATTTGAGTTTACCATCCACCCGACATTGATTTTATATGGTGTGAGGTAGAAATCTGATCCATTTTTCCTATGTGAATAACCAATATTTCCAGCACCATTTATTTATTTTTAGGCTTTTTTGTATGGAAAAATGCCAAATACATTAAAAACAGAATGAATAAATAATAAATTCCATGTACCCATTCACGTAACTTTGGTGATTATTTCACGACCAATTAGCTACATTTACATCTCTACCTACTTTACCCCACTACGAAAATTATTTTGAAGTAAATTCCAAGAATTATATAATTTTATCTGTAAACATTTTAATATTTATTTTAAAAATAAGATCTTTTAAAACGAATTGCAATGCCATTACGACACTTAAAATAGAAATTATAATTCTTTAATAGCAGTTCATTAAATGAAGCTGGTATTAGATGCCACAAACCAAAGACAGTACAAGAACAGAAAACTGCAAACCAATATCCCTCATAAGCAGAGACACAAAAATCTTCAATAAAATGTTAGCAGAACAAGTCCAGAATTATATTAAAAAGGTTATCCATCTTGGCCAAGTGGTAGGTATCCTGAGGATGCAAAACTTCAACATTAGAAAATAAATTAAGAAAATCTATCATATAAACGGACTAATTAAGAAAAGCCACGTGATCATATCAGGGGATGTAGAAAAAGCATTTGGTAAAACAACACTTAACTTTGACAAAAAATTCCCATTAACTAGGAATAGAAGGGAAAAAACCCAGAAAATAAAACCTGAAGAATTCATACCACCTGATTCCAAACTTAATACAAAGCTACAGTAATCAAGAGTGTGGTTTTGGTGAAAGGATAGACACATGTAAATCAGTGGAACAAAGTCTGTATGGAACCAATCCTGTACGAAACTTTGCTGAGACTTAACTTTATTGTCCAATATATGGTTCTCTTTTCATAAAAACTCTCACGCGCTTGAAGAGGACTATTTACAGTTGTATTTTATACATGGAATTTCATTGATTAGAAGTTGGACATTTCCCACATTTAAACATCTCTGAAATCAGTATGCCTCTGGTCATCAATGGCATGTCATACTTTAACTGGCAGTGGCTTTTCTTTCTGAGGTAGACTTAGGCTAATGCTTTGCCTTACAATCAGGGGTGGCTTATAATTGATGAAATTCAGAATGTTAGGTCAAGTTTTTTAATTGTTCAAGTCTCTGTACTGAGTATTTTCCTGCTTTTTTGTATCAGTTATGAGAGAGTTATGTTAAATTCTAAGATTGTGGATTTTTCTTCCTCATTATATTTCTGCATTTTGCTTAACACCCTGCCCCTGCATTATTAGGTGCATCCAGGTTTAATGTTTTTTTTCCAGGTGAATTGAATCTTTTATTTATAGTGACCATCTTTGTCCCAAGTAATAATTTTTTCCTTTAGAGTCTGTTTTGTTCAATGTAAACACGGCTGTACTGTTGCTTTCTTTGGTTAGTATTTGGCTGGTATAACTTTTTCCACGCTTTTACTTTCAATCTTGCGGTATCCTTATATTTTAGATTTACCATTATATAAACAACATGTAGCTGGATTTTGTATCCTAATCCAACGTGGCAATCTTTGAGATTTAACTAAAATGCCCAGTGCATTCGTATTTATTATGATTGCAGATACACATAGATTTCTACCATTTTATTTTGGGCAGTATCTCCTGCCTGTTTCTTTTCTCTCCTTTCTTGTCTTTTGGATTGATGAGTGTCTTCACTGAGTATGGAATTCTAGATTTTCTTTACTACATACAAATGATATGGCAAAAAGGAGAGGGGTCTTCTGTTCTTTTCTGTCAATCTCCCAAGTAGTTTGAGCTTGTGAAAGACTGTGTTTGATGTTTATTTAGTATCCTTCACTGAGCACAGCTAATTCATAGAAACTTTGATTACTTATGATGGCAATGGGTGGTGGGCAAAGAAGTGATGTGGCATTTTCCTTTGTAAAATTCACTGTGAGAAACTCTTAAGTTTTTGTTTAGTGTTTTGTAAACTTAGCCTAAGTGTTATTTGCACAATGCCTTTTGAATTAAAAAAATAATTTTTTGGCAAGCATTTTTTCCAGATGTGATACTAAATTCAAAGATTGTCAGTTGGAAAAAAATGCTTTGATGCACATGCTTTTTTTTTTTCAAATCTTAGCTATGGTAACTTTTCTTTGGTCTGCTCGGCCTTTCATTTAGGGAATGGTACATCATTAAGGTACCATTTATGTGCTTCTAAACAGGTTAATACAGTCTGACTTGTATTATTTATGGATTCATGCAGTAAATATAAAAACAAACTGGATCCATACTAAATTCATGATAGTGGTTTCCTTTAGGGAGAGAAACTGGTCTAGGAAAAGAAAGGTGAGGAGTTCATCTGTGCATTTTTCTTCAGAAAATGCTCAGAAGAAAAAATAAAATGTTAACATTTATTAATTCTGGATGGTGCGTGTACAAAGGTTTGATGTGTTAACTTGTGTAGTTTTCTTTTCTTTTTTATCTTTTTTTTGGTTTATTTATTTATTTATTTTAATAGAGGTACTGGGGATTGAACCCAGGACCTCATGCGTGCTAGGCAGGCACTCTACCGCTGAGCTATACCTCCCCCTGTGTAGTTTTCTATATGCTTATTTCTTCAAGTTTGTAAAGCTTCTGTGGTATTTAAAAATGGAGGTTGCCATCTAGTGGACTGATTTAAGTAGAAATTTAAAAGTCTTTGCTAATAGGTTCATAAAGATTCAGTGGAACAAAGCTTTTCAGACTCTTCAGTTACACATGTAACAAAGGTCTGAACCCTAGTTTTGTTATTTACCATGTGACCTTGGGCAAAATATCAAACCTCTCTGCTTAATTTGAGTTCCAGACCCTCATTCGTTTTAACAAGCATCATGGTGCACACATTTAAACCAGGTAAGCACTGCCCTAGACTGTGGTGATACAGAAAAGCACAAAAGAGACAGAGTTTAATAAAAGTATGTGTTGGGGGTGGGGTGGGGGATACGCTATTTTAGATTGACTGACTAGAGGTTAGGTTTAAATCCCAGACCCCTACTTATTAATGCACATATATAACCTTAGGTACCAGTCTCAAGAGGATGACATGATCTGCCTTGAGATGTAACTCTGCCTTGTTTATCACTCTTTTCCTAGTAATGCTTGGCATATAAAAGGCCTTCAAATAAATATTTGTGGAATGAATGTCATTACTTTAACAGTTTCTTGTGCATAGTGATTACTCAGTAAATAGGTATTAAGGAAATGGTATGACTGTGTAGGTTATGTATATAGGTAACCCTAGATTTTATAATAAATTGACACATTTACATAATCGTTAAAAACTGTTATATATACATTCATTGAAGGCAGCAAACTACTACATATATCCTGTCAATTTTAAGGAAAAGGATCTCAACCATGAAATGGCAAAGATTTGATCTCTAATGCCTACCTATGTTTGGTGCAAATAAATTTACACTGATAAAAGGGGATAGAGTTACCAGAATCTGTTTAAAAAATTTTAATGGCCTACACCTCCAAATTACTGTCCCTCAGAGACTTACGCCAAACACTGCCTAAAGGCTTCTAAATTCTACAACCTTGATGTATTACATGTACCTTCCCATTGTTTTATAATTAAAAACCAAGCACTATTTATTAAAAGTAAAAACCTACTTTGTATATAGCAAAGTAAATACTGTTATATGATTACTGCAATTAGACTGTGATATACTTTGTTTCACTCACTTTATAGCATTTCAGCATCTTTTCTGGGAATCTGAACTGCCATTATGACAACTTTATGATTCCAAGGCACAATACACATTTCTATCTCTTCTATACACATATGTTAACTGGAGAAAAACACAGGTTTAACTAGTAACCTCAATAGCTGCTGAACGAATAAACAGGTATGGTAAGATTTCCAGAGCTCTAACGCATACCCATTCTTCATGCTCTATTCAATAAAATTAAATGGGTATCTTGTTTTATATGCTCAAGGTGTGTTTGTGGGCAGTAATGTATTTCCATCAATATAATAAATTAGTAAATTGGTAATTTATGTAAAATAGTAAATTGAGCTAAGGAAATAATTTCACTGGTCTATTTCAACTTCTGAAGTTTAATTTCAGGTTTGTACTATAATCACTTTAAAAATGTCACAGGCTCCCACATTGGATTCCTGTTAGAAAAACATCTAGGGAGATAATTTGGTATGCATTTATGGACTCCTCAGTGGCCTGCCCATGCCTCTCACAGTTAAGATTAGGTAACATGATCTAATGAGCAAGGCCCTGCACCAGAAATCTGCAGGCTGTGGAGAATTTACAAATATTTGTGGATGTCCAGTTGTTCAGGCACGAAGAGCTGGATATCTCTGCTGTAGCTCAACATAACTCTACCCGTAAATTATCTTTTAAAACACTCTTGATATAACCCAGTGACTCCAATACCTCCTAATATTCTATAGGCCTAATGGGCCACTGTTTTGAGAGTCAGGCTTTACAGAAGATGGTGATGTAAGTAGTCCCACTGGTGATCATACTTTCTTTTCATAAACTGAAATACACTTTGTCAACAAAGTCCCATTTTAAAAGACCCTGTTAATGAAAATTTTTATTAGGATTAATCACAAATTTATCAGTTGGGTTAAGATTTCTAAAAGACAGGCTCCTTAACCATGTCCTAAACACCAACAGAACAAGATATTTAGCTATTATAAGTGTTCTGACTGACTCAAAACGTAAACATATCCCCTTCTTAAAATAGGTTGTGTCAACCAGATTTGTAAATTCATTCTTATTTTTAGTTATAAAACTAGAAATGCACTATAGTTAGTATAGTTAACAGAATGGCTATCAGAAAGCTTGTCACTCATATCAAGCAATATATTTTAAATTCGGCAAACTTAATTTTATCAAATGTCCTTTAATTTTATAGACAACAATATGATACATATTGTATAAGAAGCGCACAATAGTTTTGCAGGACAATTTCAAAGTGTATACAAATTGGAATACAGAGGTTTAAACACTGGTGTACTGACAGCATTTTTGAACTCTGGATAAACTGCATACAAAACTTACAATTCAAATATTAGCCAATCTGGAAACTTCTTATAATATAAAAATGATACTTTGAGATGCAAAATACTTTTTTTTTTTACTAACAAACTATATAAACATTTAAAATAATCATTAAAAACTCAACTTTAGAATTTATAAAGATTAGCTATAAAAATATATTGGCAGTCACTTTTCTTATAAATGTACCATTCACTACATTACAAAATAGTCTCTAACATAAAATTGCCTTAATAACTGTACTATTTTAGAATCTGATAAACCTTACATTAAATCAATTATAAAATCCTCTTGGAAAACTTTGGTATGCATCTTCAGAAGGTTTTTAAAATACTCTAATATCATCTCAAGGGCCTGTAAACATCCCATTCTATTAAAAGCACAACAAAATAAGTAATGTATATTCAACGGCATACAGAATACAGAATCAAAAAAACAATTTATTAAATATTTGTAGAAAATCACCATTCCCAGAGTAACCAAAAAACAAACTATTTAAAAGTATCAAACTTTTAAACAGTTTCTCTTTCCATTCTGATAAAAAATGTTACAAAATCACTACACTCCATTCATGTACCTTAGATACCTTTTAGGACACGGCCTTGAAAAGTTAATAACCCAGTCTCAAAACCCTCTCAAGTCTGATAAACCAACTTTTAAAAACCCATTTAAGATCTGACAATAGAACAAGTATACATAATCAGAACACATAATTTATATATTTAGTTTTATGTATTAGCTTTTCTATTTGTAATTCAGAATTTATTGGTGGAAACAGAACACACACACACACACACACACACAAAATTAGAAAAGGTAAATTTTAGGAAACAGTAAGAAATGCAAACCTACAGGGTAAATTGATTTATTTAAAAAAATTCAATTTACCATATTTCATTTTATCTGCCATTTTCGGATCATTGACAACTGTTGTTATTTAGAAAATTCAAATTGCTGAAAGTTCATTTCTTGCTTCTTGAATATGTCTAATTTTTACAGAGCTTCCAGTTGTGCCAGTAACTTCCTTGAGGTCATTTTCCACTTTATCCTCTGTCACCACATCTCTTGCATTAGATATCTTTGAGTTGCAAAAGCCTAAATAAAAAGCTTCATTTTTGACCTTTTAATTTATAAAACTCCACTACAAAGAAAAATCCATCTAATTTTTCGGCAAGTCCGCAAAAATATTTTCTTTCTTAAAAATCAAACACTTTTATTAGAATAAAGATCCTTCAAAGTTTTTAACTCTTCTATTAGAGTTTTATTTTGATTTTCCAGGACTGCAACTCGATTTTCCAAGCATTTCACATACTCTTTCTTCTTTCTGCGACATTCTCGAGCAGCTTCTCTAAATACAAGCATTAAAAGTCAACATTAGAAAAAAGTTCACATTGTTTAAATGGAATATGTACTTCAGTAATTTTACCTGTTTTCTCCTCATTAAAAAAGATTAAAGTGTCATCTATATACAATGAAGTACGTTGATCCTAAGTGTAGAATTGAATCAGTTTTGGCAAGTGCAGATACCTGTCTAACCCACACACCTATCAAGACGTAAGACTGTTTTTACTGCCACGGAAAGTCCCCTCATGCCCATTTCTCTGCCCTATGGCTGATTTTTATTGCCATCAGTGAAGTTTCTCCTACTGTAGAACTTCATACAACAGTCATACAGAATGTGCTCTTGTGTCTGGTCTCCCTTGACTCAGTTTACTTTTGAGGCTCATCCATGTTGCTGCGCAATGGTTTGTTCCTCTGTATTGTTCGGCATATTCCGCTGTATGAATATCACAATTTGTTGATCCATTCTCTTGGGCTGTTTGCTAGTTTTAGCTGCTGTGCATGTTCTTGTGCCAGCCTCTTTGTGAACATATGTCCCATTTCTCTTGGATAAATACCACGAAGTGAAATTTATGGGTCCTCTGGTTAACTTTTTACATATAGATTCTTTAAATTATTTTTATTTATTTTAAAATTACAAATAGCCCTTGATACACAGTTTCATAATGTCCTCTCAGAATATTTCTATCGATTTACATTCAAGTTTTATATATATAAAAGTAATACACTGAGTATATTTTATATACTATGTACTGTAGATATTAGCTGCAACTTGCTTTTCTACACATACTGTTTTAACGCTCTTTCTATAATTGGTATGCAGATCTTTGCCATGTGGACATTTCATTGTTAATTAATTTTCATTTCCCTAACTAGTGAGGTTAAGCATCTTTTCAAAAGTTTAATGGTCTTTTGGATCTGCTGTTTCATAATGTGCCTGTGCCTATTCATACCCTTGTCCATTCCTACCTTTTGCCCATTTTACAAATAGAAATTACTGGAAAGACAACCTAAGAACTCTGTGCATTATACACAGTAATCCTGTTTTTACATTACTTTCTAATCTATCATTTGACTTGGGATTTTTTTTCTCAATGCTCTTTAGTATTTGTCTTGGCTTAGATTAAAATGCCGTGTACTACATTATTTCTCTAAATTTTTATCTTAAAGATTTTGTTGCTTAATTTTCACAATTAAGTCTTTAATCCATCTGGAATTACTTTTACGTACAGCATAAAGTAGGAGTCCAGTTTAATTTTCTTCCAGATGTAGAGTCGTGTCAGTATCATTGCAAATATATTTTCAGTTTTTCTGTTTGGTTGTATTGTGTTTTTTTGTTGGGTTGTACTTATTAATTTAGAGCTCTTTATATTTTTTTTCAAACATCTTTTTTTTCGGTAAGATACACTGCAAATATCTTCTACTTGTTGAAGCTTATATTCACTCTGTTATCTTTTGATGAACAGAAGTTATTGATTTTAATGAAGATTCATTAATCTTTAATGTTAATTTTTTGTGTTTGTGTGTTGTTTTGTTTAAGGACTCTTTTCCTATACCTGAAACCACGAGATTTTATATTTTCACCTAAAAGTTTTAAAATTTTGTCTTTCACATATGTATTTTTAATCCATCCAGAATGACTTTCATGTGTGGTATGAGGAAGAAATCCAGTATTTTTCACATATAAATAACTGATTATCCTAGCATCATTTATCCAAGAGTCCCTCCTCCCCCAGTAGTCTGCCCTGTCATATATCAAGGTTTCATGTATCCACAGATCTGTTTCTGAGCTCGCTATTTCATTGGTCTTTTTATCTCAGTGACAGTATCACATTATTTCAATTATCACAGCTTTGAATGAAACTTGGTATCCCCTCACCTTATTCTTGTCTGGAATATTTTGGCTGTTCTTGGCCCTCTTCTATAAATTTTAGTATCAACTTGTCAAGTTCTTCAAACAAACTGGGTTTTGATTGGAACTGCACTGAATCTATGGATCAACTGGGGGGAAAACGGTCATCTTTATAATACTGAGTTACCAAATTAATGGACATGGAGAAATATACTATTTATTTAGATCCTCCTTAATGTTTTTCAAAAGCATTTTACAGTATTTTCCATAAATGTGTGGGACATCTTTTGTTAGACTTATTCTGACATTTTATTTATTGATAACATAAATGGTATCTTTTATTAAATAATTATTTACCAAACTCTTTATTGCTGATGTGAGGAAATATAATCGATTTTTGAAAACTGACTTTATATCTAGTAACTTTATAAACTCATTACTTGCAACAAATTTTCTGTAGGTCCATTTGGGTTTTTTTTTTCTTTTTTATTAAAGTATAGTCAGTTTACAATGTTGTGTCAATTTCTGGTGTACAACACATTGCTTCAGTCATATATGAATATACGTATATTCATTTTCATATTCTTTTTCACCATAAGCTACTATAAGATATATAGTTCCTTGTGCTATACAGTATAAACTCGTTTATCTATTTTATATATACTAGTCAGTATCTGCAAATCTCGAACTCTCTATTTATCCCTTCCCACCTCCTTCCCCGCTGGTAACTATAAGTTTGTTTCTATGTCTGTGAATCTGTTTGTTTTTTATGTAAGTTCATTTGTCTTTTTTTTATTTTTAGATTCCACATATAAGTGATATCATATGGTATTTTTCTTTCTCCTTCTGGCTTACTTCACTTAGAATGACATTCTCCAGGGTGATCCATGTTGCTGCAAATGGCATTATTTTATTATGTTTTATGGCTGAGTAGTATTCCATTGTATAAACATACCACAACTTCTTTATCCAGTCATCTATCAATGGACATTCAGGTTGTTACCATGTCTTGGCTATTGTAAATAGTGCTGCTATGAATACTGGGGTGCGTGTCTTTTTGAATTAAGGTTCCCTCTGGATATATGCCCAGGAGTGGGATTGTTGGATCATATGGTAAGTCTATTTTTAGTTTTTTGAGGAATCTCCATACTGTTTTCCATAATGGCTGTACCAGGGTTTTTAATTAGGCAATCATGAAAAATAGTATAGTTTTTCTTTTATTTAAATCCTTGTAATTTCTCCCTTTTTCCTGTTTTACTATAAATTGGCAAGGGTTTCAAATACAATGCTGAAGAGAACTGGTTCTTCAAGCTTTCAAACAGCTTGCAGTTAATTATCCTGGATATTCTAAGCAGATGAATGTATCTTCGGTAATAACAGTTTTATTTTTCTTCAGTTTTTATTATTTTTATAGTCTCTTGATCTTTGATGATTTTCAGTGACATCTTTTTTTTAAAAAAAATACAGCAGACATACTTCTTTCCCTCTCACTATTAGATAACTGAAGACTTTACAAAACTCACTGTGTTGTCTGCTCTTTCTGCTGATTCTTGATCCTGAAAGGCAGGGTGGTATTCCTTTGGACTTTAGACTCTAAAACCTGGACCCATGATTTTAAATGCTACCTCTGTCACTTACTAAGCAGTGTAACCCTAGGCAAGTGACTTAAATTTTCTAGGCCTCAGTTTCCTCATTTAAAAAAATTAAGGGGCAGGTATACAGCTCAGTGGTTGAGCGCATGCTCAGCATGCACAAGGGCCTGGATTCCATCCCCAGCACCTCCATAAAGTAAATAAACCTCCCCCCTAAAAAAAAAGGAAAGGAAATAACTTTTTGTGAAAATTGCAAAAGGGCTTGGCGCATATAATGGAGACATAATTTCTTGGGTAGTCTGTGATTTTTCAACTTGTATCTGTCAGAACTGAACGTATGGGAGTTCATTAAAGCCTGTGTTGAGGTTGCTTTCTCCAAGCAACAGGGGAGCACCATGGACCTGCGCCTGTTGTTTTAATTACAGTTCTCAGCTTATGCGTGTAGCACTTCTTGGGTCTTGACCTCATGAAGAATAATCTCTGGTCCAGTTCCCCAGCTTGCACAGGCCCCAGGCTCTGTCCTCAGTCCCTTCTGCATACCAAGGCTATACCAATCATGAAAATCTGAATTTATCCCCAGGAAATACAGGAGTTGGCTGCTTCAGTGCTTAGTAACATCATGGTCTTGTGCTTCTAGTTCATTCCTAACCTCAACAATTTCTCTTACTTTCCTGCATACTCATCCAAATCACTTAAAAGGATGGTTTTTATATTTCATCAGGCTTTTAAAAATATTATGTAGATGGGGTCATACTGTCAGAGAAGTCTTATTCTAGTAATTTTAACAAGTCTTCTGGGTTTCCTAGGCACACAATTATATCAGCAGAGAAAAACAATTCTTTTCTAATATATATATAACTTATTTCATGTACTTATCTTACTGCCATTTCTTGGACCATCCAAACAACAGAGGTCCCTGCCTTGTTACCAAGTTCATTTACAGTGATGCTTCCTCTTATTTTCAGTAAAGAAACATTTCATCTTGAAGTAATTAAATGTATCCATCTGGTCCTTTTATTGTAATTTTTATTGCTCTAGAAAATTGTCCTTTTACTCTAATTTTCTAACTTACTGGTGAGGACCTTAAAACAGAACCCTATTGTAATTTTAAAAATTTGTTTCATCTGTGGCTATTTACCTTTTTGTTCCTAATACGGTTTATTGATGTCTTTATTTTTTTTTCTGAACCCTTTGCAAAAGGCATCCATTTTATTCTTTTTCTCAAAGAACTAGTGGTTTTTCATGCCTGATGTACATATAGTACATGTAGCAATGTTTAAAATTCATTTAAAATGAAAGGAAATGTTTCTGGGGGCTAAACGACTGCTGTATTTTCATGATCAAAATTCATTTTTAAAAGCATTTCTGTATCAGTAGGTATATTAGGTATTATGCAGAATCTTGCTAATTCTTCCTTTTCTTGCTCTTGTCAACAGCAAGCAGCAAATTAAATTATTATTTTTATTTAACTTTGTCAGCCCAGCAGACAAAATACATTGTTTGAAAAGTTTGGCTAAACTTTGCTATTCAAAGGACACGATAAAAATCAAAGAACTCTAGATTCTAGATCATGTATTAAATAAAGACATTGTGCAGTGGGACTCACCGATCCACCAGAAATGAACCAGACATAACCTAATACTCAGTTAAAATAAAGCTGATGTAAACCCCTCTCCTTATGTCTAACATACACATACAATTCCAGTTAACATTTGGTTATGTTTTGAGATTTATAAAAACATTACCCATTCTGACAGTATAATTTTACTACCTACCTGTTTTTCATCAATCTTATTTCTCTTTTCAATTGGGGGTCATCTGTCTTAGTTGTCTGAGATGTAAGGGTCACGGGAGAAGTCATTACCACTGTTTGTGGTAGCGAAGTAGCTGAAGGTGTGGTACGGATCTGGTATGTCTGCATATCTCCTGATGCAGCTGCATGATCAGAAGAATGAGTTAATTCATAAGTGTCTTTGAAAGTACTTTGGGATGCTGTCCATAGATACTTAAGCATACTCACTTTGTACAACCACCTGGTTGCTGGGCACGAGTATTTGCTGTCCATCAGAGGTCTGTGCATACTGGAGAATTGTTGTACCTTGCTGAGTACTGCCTGAATTTGTCATGGTTAGTGTCTGAAGCCCCTGTACTCCATCTGTGCCTGGACTGGCCAGCTGTAAGGCTCCATTTGGGGCAATGGCAACTTTAACCAAAGAGAGAACATAGCTAATATAAGGCTATACAATACACTAATTACAAAGAATTGGCAAAAAAACCAAATGCTACTCATCAAAACAGGTTTAAATGCATTTCCTCTTGATAACTATTGACTAGTTTGGGTGAGTTATATAAAAGAAATAAATGGCATTTATTTATAATAAATGGAAATAAAATGGCATTTCTTAATAAAATTATATATTTTAGGTGCTTTAATCTTAATTCAGTCTCAAACTGTACAATATAACTGGTCAAAACACATCTAGGGCTCTACAGAGCACTCCATGCTAACTGCTGATGTCACAGCAGTTCTGAGGCATCAGCAGAAGGCACCACCGATGACTAACTTTTAAAGGAAAAATAAGTAGGAGGAAATATTAACATAGTTTGTAATTTTTATTCAAAAGCATTAAAAAAGATTGTAACTTAAAATATTTGTGACTAGAAAAGTGTACCTATGGAAATAATTTCAAAAAGGATAAAAGGTTACATAATAAAATAAATCTTCATATTCTTCCTTAACTCCACTCTCTAAAGATGACCACTGTTAAGCATTGTCATTTACTTAAGCAATTTTCTAAAATGTAATTTATTCAGTCACTCCTAGTGAGAAGCACCAATAAAGTCATCAGAAAGCCTCTATACAGATCACATTACAAAGCTTCCCATAAGCATTTTTCACTGAATTTTACTTAATTAATGCTTTGCCCTCAAACCTTAAATGAAACACCCATAAAGCATGACCAAATAGAAAACACTTTAGCATTATGTGATTACCATGTGATAAATCCCCCCTTCAAAATCGAATGGCTCATCTCTATACCCTCTTTTCAGGTTAAAATTATGCAACTTTTTTTTCCTTTTATGCTTTGGCTACCAAAATATACGCATCTCTGTGTGTGTTTGGTTTGTTTGTTTTAGGGGGGAGATAATTAGCTTTATTTAGTTAGTTTGATGGAGGTACTGGGGATTGAACCCAGGACCTCATGCATGCAAAGCATGCAGTCTACCACTGAGCTATACCTTCCCACCATGTGTGTATTTTAAGTGAAAATTTCTTCTTTACCAGTTTCTAATTATCCTTTCCCAAATACTACAAAACAAATATTCCCATATACTTTACCTTACATGACTTTAGAAGTAAAGACATTAAATTTTTTTCGATGCAGATATTTGTTTTAAACTTAATACTAGCAATTACTTTCAATCTCCTTCCCTCCTTATTATACATATATAAAATAAAAAGTAAGTCTCATTATCCCTATTAATTCCACTGGCCACCCTCCACGCCCTCCTGAGGTAACCATTATTTTTGGTGCTCAGCCTTCCTAATCTTTTGCTCTGCTCTTATTATCAAATTATGTATATCTACACACATTATAGATACACATCTTTTGATGTTAAATATATGTCAATACAGAATTGTTTTTATTTTTGCAACATATCTTCCTGTACTTGCTTAACATGTGTATTTACTTGATTACTGTATTTACTCAGTCTGTGTGGCCAGAATGCCATCAAGTGGCAGGAGATGAGATCAGAATGATAGGCAAAGCCAGATTCTGAATGTAATGCCTTGCAGGACTTACTCGAAATATGACAGAAAGTTACTAGAAGATTCTGAGCAAGAGTGGTGTGAGCTAATTGACATTTTAAATAAATTGCTTTGGCTGCAATATAGAAAACGATTAGAGCAATAATGGAAGCAAGATGACCAACCGGATGCCTACTGCAGTAAGTCAGGTAACAGTGTAAACCAAGATGGTGGCAATGACGACTATAGGTGCTGAGAGGTGGTCAGATGGGACACATATTTTGTGGCAAGAGCCAGACTTGAAGAACAGGGGTTAGGTGCAGAGAGAGAGACTGTCTACAAATTAACAGCACAAGTGAATTTCTTGGGGTGATGGAATTATATTTTGATTATGGTGGTGATTAGATAACTCCATGCATTTTTCAAAACTCATATGATAGACTTAAACTCCAAAGTAAGTATATCATTTACAAGCTGTGTATCACTTATAAGCTGTGTGACTTTAGGGACATTATCTAACTCTTTAAGCCTCAGTTCCCTCATAAATTGGTAACTGCACCTCACAAAGTTGTTGTAAGGAGTTAATGAGATAATGCTGAAAAAGCACTTTGTGCATTATTTCTGGTTCAAAATGTTATCCTTTAATAATCATCAGTATTAAAGTTTCACAGTCTACACATCCCTTCTTCACACAGAAGTGTCCATCCTGTGGGAAATGTTTTCCTATACGTACTGTACTGTCCGGTGCTAGTCTGATAGATGGGAGTTGGAACAGACATAGAAGTGACCGAAGAAACTGCAGGGTTTTCTCCGTCTCCTTTTCTGCCCCGTGTATCTTCAGAAGACAGATCTTTCAAAATTTTTCTGTGAAAAACAGAACTATTATTAATGTTGGTAATGAGGACGCTTTACAAAAAGGAATTGCTAAACCTTTTTCAACCTCTCCTATTCATTTTTTTCCTATTCATTTTCTAAATAGTGTCGTCAGTGACCATCATTTAAAAAGATCAAATTTTTTTAACCTTCAACTCTATAGTGGACAAAAACCCCACAGTTCTCAGAAAGAAATAGAGACTAGAAATACTACTATAAAAATGCAGATTATCAGTGATAAATTGCTTATTTTAACAAAAAGTAAATTTGATTCCATAGAGATCCCTCAGACTTGGCAAAAAGGGACTCATGGCAAGAATAAGGGAAAGAAAGAAGATTCCTTGCTGAAAAAAAAGGTCTTCTAAAACACAGTTGGGGGTGGAGGGAGCATTATTTGTTTCTGGGAAAAGAAAAAATGTTTATTGTAGAATAAATTCCATATTTATTGTAGAAAAATCAGAAAGCCTGCAATACTTGCATGAAAACAACAACAAAAAAGAATCACAAAAGGAAAAAAAAAAAAACAACAACAGAACACCCTGAGCATTAAAAGGGATCTTCCATGTGGTCTATGCTGAACTTCCAGCCCAAGCAGAATTCCCTAACATTCCTAACACCTCTACTTCCAGGAATAAGGGATCCACAACATCCAAAATGCAAACTATTCAATTACTGGATGGTTACAGCTCTTCCTTATTTACCCTCAAAGCTAATTCCACCCTCATGAAGCTAGAGAAAGTTAAGTTTAACCCTAATTCTGTATCCATGCCCTATTTTGCAATATTTGACAACTGCTACAGGTCTTCTTTATTGGAGGCCAAATAATTCTAGTTCCTTCAGTTGTTGTTCTATCACATGTTGAAGATACTTCTCCATCTTGGTCTCTACTCTGACAGTCTTCCCACCAAGAGCCAACACAAATGTAGATGTATTACCAGAAGTTCCACACAGAGAACAAGGGAGGTGATGGTCCTACAGGACTCTGCATTAGCCATCTGTAGAATAGTCAGTGGTTCTTTAACCCACTCTATCAGGATCATCTGGAGAGGAGAGGTTTATTGAATCCAGATTCCCATCTGGTACCCCTAATGACTGAGTGATCAGGACAGAGCTCTAGAATTCATTTAACAAGCTGCCTGCATGGTCTTTATACAGCCAGCCTAGCAGGGGACTGTGGAATGCTGTGCTGATTTCTTTTTCAATTTTAAGTTATGAAATATTTTGAGCATAAAGAGAAGTACAAAAAATACAAACACCTATGTACCACAGACCAAGAATCAACAGATGCTAATATTTTGCCACATTTGTTTCAGATCTTATTTTTAATAGGAATTAAGTTATAAATACAGCAAAATGTCACCACCAATTCCTTTCCCTGCTCTTCTCTCCAAAGAGTATCATTATCTAAATTGCTGTTTATCATTCCCATATATATTTATTTTTACTACTTAGCATTTAGAGATACTATTTGCCATTGTTTTGCATTCTTCCTCATCCTCCTGACTCAACCTTGGAGAATTTCAGAGAGCAGTCTTTTGAACTTCCTATCTGTATTCTTTCTGGTGATCTCATCTGTCCCATGGGCTTGAATACCCTGTGTATACTGTTGATCCCTCAAATGAGATTTCCTCAGCATCTTTCCTGAATTCCAACTCCTATTTCCAATTGTGTATTGAATACTTTGATTCAATAGGCACCTCAAACTTAATACATCCAAATCTAATATCTGAGATCCTTCTACCCCGACAGTCTTACCCACTTCAGTAAATATCAACTCTGATTTCTCCATAAATTTTGGAGTCACCTTTTCTTTCTTACAACCCTTACCCAATGCATAAGCAAATCCCCCTTTCTGTCTTAAAAATATATCCAGAATCTTACCTACCCTCATCACCTCCACTGCTGTACCCTAGTCCATGCCATCAATGCCTCTTGACTGAACAGGATTATCAATTTTATTGATTTCCCCCCAAAGAACCAGCTTTCAGTTATATTATCCCTATTAATTTTCTCAAGTTCACTGGTTTCTGCTCTTAATCTCTTGTTTTATCCTGCTTTAAGCTTACTTTGTTTTCCCCCTAGTTTCTTAAAGTAGAAGCTTAGGTTATTGATTTGATACTTTCCTTCTTTTATAATATAAGCAGTTGTTTAATGCTGTAAATTTTCCTCTATTTCCCACGGACTACTATTTCCCATTGTTACAGCCCACAGATTTTAATATTTTGTATTTTCATTCAGTTCACAATGTTTTCTGATTTCCCTTAAGATTTTCTGTTTGGTCTATGGATTATTTTTAAGTGTTAATTTCCATGTGTTTGAAGATTTTCCTGTTATCTTTCTGTTACTGGTTTCTAATCTAATGTAAGTGTGATTAGCGAACTTTGCATAATTTCAGTTCTTCTAAATTTGTTAAGGTTTGTTATGACCCAGGATGTGGTCTTTATTAGTAGATATTCTTTTGTGCACGTGGGTGAAGTTGTGCACAATGTCGATCAGATTCAACTATAGTATTGTTCAGTTCTTCTATAATCTTGCCGATTTTCTGGCTACAAGTTCTGTTGGATACTGAGGTAGGTGTACACAAATCTTCAACTATAACTGAATTTAGTTATAGATAAAAGCTTAGTTTGCTTTTCAGTTGTTAGTTTTTGATACAGATATTTTGCAGCTCTATTAGGTGCATACACATTTAGGATTGTTATTTATCTTCTTGGTAAACTGACCTCTGTTTGTCTCTGATAATTTCTTTTGCTCTGAAGTCTATTTTGTATATTAAAAAAGCTACTTTAGTTTTCTTCTGATTATGTTTTAATTTCTCTTGGGTATATATATATATAGCAGTAGAAGTAGTGTATATCTACATTCATAAGGTAAATATGTTCAGTATTTTGAAGACCGACCAGACTATTTCCACAGCCACTGTCGCACTTCACATTCTCAACAGCAAGGTACAAGGGCTCTAATTCTTCTACATCCTTACCAATGCTTATGTATTTTTTTTAGGCATTGTACTGGGTTTGAAGTGATTTCTCATAATTTTGATTTGCACTTACCTAATGATGAATGACATTTTTGTGATGATGAACGTTTTTCTCATTTGTGCATCTTCTTTGGAGAAATGTTTATTCAAATCTTTTCCTCATTTAAAATTGGGTTGTCTTAACAATATTTAGTCTCCAACTGATGAACATGTGATATCTTTTCATTTAATCTTTTAAAATGTGATATCTTTTCATTTAATCTTTTAAAATTTCTCTCAACAAGGTTTTGTTTTCAATATACAGGTATTATGCTTCTGTTACATTTATACCTAATATAATTTGAATTTATAAAAGGAATTTCAAACCTAAGTGTTTCACACATTTTTATCTTAAGTGGAATTGTTCTTAATTTCATTTTTGGATTTATTGCTAGTGTACAGAAGTACAACTGATTTTATATCCTGCAACCCTGCTGAACTTGTCTATTAGTTCTATTTTATTAGATTCTTTGGGATTTTTCTATATATGAGATCATTGTCTTCTGCAGTTTTTTAAATTTCTCCCTTTACAATATGGATGACTTTTAATTTCATTTTCTGGCCTAATTGCCTGAGTAAAATATGAAGTAGAAGTAGTAAGAACAGACATCCACAGCCCTGTCTTGTGCCTGATCTTCGGGGAGAAAACAGTCTTTCCCCATTAAGTCTGTTAGCTATGGGCTTTTGTAGATGCGCTTTATCAGGTCAAGGAATCTCTTCTATTTTATGAAGAGCCTTTTTATCATGGAAGGGTATGGATTTCATCAAATGCTTTTCTGTATGTCTGTTGAGATGATCATACTTTTTTGTTTTTATTATATAAATACAATGTATTACGCGTTGATTTTCAGATGTTAAACCAATTTTGCATTCTTAGGGTAAATCCTACTCAATTATGGTGTATAAATACTTTCTATATGTTGTTGGATTCAGTTTGCTAATATTTTGCTGAGGATTTTTGTGTCTATATTCACAAGGAATATTGGTCTGTAGTTTTATTATCTGTCTTTTAATTAGTGAGTTTAAGCCATGCCTTCTTAAATATAATTATTGATATTGGTTGAGCTATAATTTTATTATTTGCTTTCTTTTTTAAAAAAGTTCTTCTGCATTCTTTTGGGTATTTGAAGATTCTTTCAAAACTCCATTTAAATTTATCTGTTGTGTACTTGACTAAATCTCTGTATAGTTTCTTAGTAGTTGCTCTAGGTGTTACAATATAGATGCCTAGTTTACTGAGATTCACAGTTTTACCACTTAAAGTGACCCTCAGAAACATTAGCAACACACTAAATCTCTGTCTCCCCTCCTTATGTTGTAATTGTCTTATATATTGCATACACTGAAAACCCCATCAGACATATTTTTTTCAGCCATCAGACATATTGTAAAGAATTCAGTAGAAGAAGAGTAGTCCATTAATTTGCCCAGATCTTGCTGTTGCTATTTCTTCATTCCTAACCTTCCAAGTTTCTTTCCATTTTAAGAACTTTCTTAGCAGTTATTTTAGAGGAAGTCTGCTGTCAATGACTTCTCTTAGTTTTCCCTTATCTGAGGATATTTATTTCACCTCTTTTCTGAGGGTTATCTTCACTAGACACAGACTTCTGGATTGATAGCAAGAACTATTTCATTTCCTTCTAGACTACATTTTTTGATGAGAAATTTATATTCATATCATTCCCTTTTATTATTTAAAATATATATCATTTTTATTATTTAAAAATATATCATTTTTCTCTGGCTGCTCTCAAGATTTTTATCTTTAATTTTCAGCAGTTTGATTATGATATGTTTGGGCAGGGATTTCTTTGTGTTTATCCTGTTTAAGGTTTGCTGAGCTTTATGAATCTGTAGTTTCACCAAATTTGGGAACATTTCAGCCATTTTTTATTCAGTTATTTTTTCTGCAACATACTTTTTCGTCTCTTATGACACAAATGACACAAATGTTAAATCTTTTGGTATTGTCTCACAGGTCCCTGAGAACTAGTTAATTTTTCCGATCTCTACTCTTCACACCAGATAATCTCCACTGAACTATCTCTAAAGCTGACTTATTCCTTACCTCTGTTATCCTACTGAATCCATCGAGTGAGGTTTTATTTCTACTACTGTATTTCTCAGATTTAAAACTTCTGTTTGGTTCTCCTTATATCTTCTGTTTTTTTGCTAAGAGTTCCTACCTTTCCACTGATTTCGATAGAATACTTGTTAGAACATTTTAGTAATAGCTCCTTTAAAGTCTTTGTCACATAATTCCAACATACGAGTCACCTAGGAGATGGCATCTGCTGGTAGTCTTTTCCCTTACAGGATTCTTCCAGGTTCTCTGTATACCAAGTAATTTTGGACATTTTCAATATTATGAAATTACTCTTGTTTAAATCCTATGGAGAACTTTTGTTTTAGCAGGCTATCAACCTGGTTCTGTCAAAGCCGTAAGTTCTGACCAGCCTTCTGTGGGTTGTGATTCTAATGTAAATCCAGCTTTCAAAGACACTGCAGTGCTGTTCAGATTTGGTCCATGTGTGCACCATGTAGTAGCCAGTTTGGAACGTGAACTATGATCTGTCCTATGTATAATTCATTTCCCAAAGTCTAGGAAAGCTCACATTTATTCCTTATTTGCTAAAAATTTTATGAGTGGGTGCTGAATTTAACCAAATACTTTTTCTCCATTTATTGAGTTGATTTTATATTGTTTCTGCTGATTCTCACATACGGTGGTTTACTTCCTTGTATGTTTGATGATTTCTGACTGTGAATTCTTATTTGGTTAATCTTATCTGTGGTAATTCAGAAAGCTTAACTTGGAGAGGCTTTGTTTCAGATGTTCTAGCCTCCTCTAGTAATCCTAGCTTAATTCAGAAATCTCAGGTTCACTGTCTCCTCCCGCAGTAGACCTAAAGTAATTGGTGTACCTTGGTTTTCATGCTTGTTTCTCCTTCCCATTCTGGGTTCACCTCGTGTATTTGTACGTATATGGTTTTATGTTTATTGGGGTAGGGTGACAAAACATTTCTATTATGTCCTATAAATACACAATGTATTAACAAGTATTTAATCCAGGAGCTAACTGTTCTGCGCTGGAAGAGCTCTGCTATTTGGAAATTAAACTTTTAATCTGTATTCTTTTGGTGATTACTTCTAATAGTCTAAGGTAAGTCTAAAGGTAATTAACAAAAGATTCCAGTAGACCATTCTTGTCTTACATGTTTCTGCCTGGTCTGTTTCTTTCCATTTTGCTTTTAAAGTACCCAAATTAATTATTATTAGTATTGTTCTAAAAAGTCAATGGTAACTTAAATGAATGTCTTGGTTCACCATTCTTTATTATATTCACACTCCTTCCATTTGGTTTCATTTCTTTCTTCCTGACATATACCCTTTAGTAATTTCTGAAATCAGTCTGAAATGACTTTAATTTCACCATTATTTCTGAGTGACTGTTCAGGTGAGTATATAATTCCAGGCCAATTGTTACTTTCTCTTGGCATTTAAAGATTTTAGTCTACTGTCTTCTAATACTACTGTTCAAAAGTCTGTTGTCAGCCTAACAGTTGGTCCTTTTGAGGTAATTTGTCTTTGGAAGCTTTAAAGATCTTATTTTTATCTTTGCGGCCCTCCAGTTTTGCTTCGTAAGATATATCCAGATGTAGTTTTATGACTTATCTTGTGTGAGACCTCACTTTCTAAGGCTGAGAAATTCATGTCTTGGAAATTTAGTCATTACCTTTTCTCTCCTAGAGAGAAAAGAAACTGAAAGTATTCCCCATTTTTTCCTTTTGCAAGTATTATTAGATGCACCTTGTGTGTTGGACCTTCCCATTCTATCTTCTCTATCTCTTAATTTTTACTCAGAGCTGTACCTTCCAGTTATATCTATTCTGCTATATATTTTAAATTCCTCAATAGACTTCAGCAGTTATATTTTTCATTTCCAGAAGTTTGACCCAGTTATTTTTTTAAATCTCCCAGCCTTTTATTCTAGTACAAGAGTTTTGATTCCTTATGTCTTTAACAACTTTAATTATACTTACACTCCCTGGCAATTTTATTATCTAAAGTTCTTTAGAGGTTTAATTCTGTTCATTGTATCTGCCGCTTCTTGCTAATAATGGATTACTTCATTCAGCTTTTCATAGTTTCAGATTATAAGCTCATTTGGTGGTGCTTATTTTTCACCCCCCCCCCAAATTCACAGACAAAATTTTGTCTGCTCATTAACTTTATTCAGTAGAGTCCCAATTCCTTAGCACGGTAACAAGGTTCTATGTAATCTGGCTCCTATTTACCTTTTCTTGCTAAACCTCCTCTTTCTCCCTGCACCTTAAAGTTCCCAACTCCCAGAAAAGGCTACCCTCTTTCATATCATATACTCTACCTTTTATTACACTGTTCCTTCAGCCTAAGCAGCTCTTTTCCTGCCTTACAAAAACCCTCCCTGCTCCTCGCTCACAAAATTTATCAGATTTGTAATGAACCAAACCACGTCTTTTATGAAGTCTTTCCTACTTATTCTGTCAGGCAGGAAAGACTATACTGTATACAAAATTCTCTCATAACAGCCAAAACCTTACTGTGTTTGTTTGTGTTTCAAAGACAGCATTTCATCCTTTTCTGTCTCCCTTTCCTTCTACTATCTAGTCACCAGGTTTAGTGAATTCCACCACAGAAGTGTCTCAAATCCACCTACACCCAAGAGATCCCACTATCTATATGAAATCACGTAGGTTATTTCAAAAGCTTTCTGTGAATTATCTCTACTACTTCCAGCTTTCCATTCATTCGGCAAGTAACTATTGAACATCTGCTCTCATATAGTCATTTTGCTAGGCCCTAGGATCATACCCCCCAAAATTATTTAAGGACATGTGGCCCATGCATTAACAGGAATTCCAACAGGATGAGGTAAGTACTATAATAGCGGTCAGTAAAAAAGATGCCGCAGAAGAAAGACCTAACCTGGTGTTGGGGGGGTGAAGAGAAAATAAACAGAGAAGGCTTCCAGGAGGAAATGAGGCCTGAAGAATGTGTTTTAGTAAAGGGACCCACATATAAGGGAGAGACAAAGGCCCAGAACTAGGAAGCTAAGAAAAGGAACACAAAGTAGTTCAATTCTTAAAGTCTGCAGTCCTAATTTCACACTACTATTAAAGTTAACTATCTAACAGTAAATATGGAAATCTAATACTTTGCCAGAAGATAAGTCTAAATTCCTCTTCAGCACACAACTTGGGCCCTCTTCAGCACACAACTTGGGCCCTTCATAATCTGGCTCAAATCTCTCTCTTAACACTTCCCTTCCTATACAAACACATGCTCCTTCTCTATATAATTGGCTTTGCACAGAACCATTCAAACTCAGTTTGATACAAGTACTCACCTGTAAGATGGGCGCCGTGCTAGGATCCCGTGGGCTTTCTGTGAGGAGCCTATGCTGTCGGATGAGTCCTGAGACTCCTCACTTTCTGATAAAGATGACACCTGAAAAACAGAACTGGTTTTACTATGGTGAACCAAACAGGCAGAAACAGAATTAAATTTAATTTTTACTTTCACAAAAAGTGATCTGTCTCCTGCCACTCAAATTCACTTGTCATTAAGTCTAAGGTCTAAAAGAAAGAAATTGAGGGAAAAGGAGAAAGTTCGTTTCAGGAGCCCAAACTAATGAAAGGAACATTTAATACAGCAGGCTCAGAACTAAAAAGAAAGTCTATCCCCAAAATAAACCAGTACTACTTCACTAGTGTTGTAAAGATCAGGCTCTTTTTTAAAAAGTATCATTATTGCTGTCTGATTTGGATTTTGCACATGATAACTTTGAAACGATATCATATACCCAACTATTATCTATCAGATAATGTTATTGATGATATTGCTGACTATGCCGGCTTTCGCATCAGGGAAGAGGTCTGGGCTAGACATACAAACTGGAAGTCACAGCTCTTTAGATAGTCCTTAAAGCCACAAGACTGAGCTTGATAAAGGGATAAATATAGGACAAAATCCAGGAACACTCTAGCATTAAGAGGTTGGGAAGGGGGAGAACCAGCAAATAAGACCAAGAACAAGCCACCAGTGAGACAGGAGGAAAACCAAATTAGTGAGACGTCCTTGGAAAAACTAAAGCAAACAGTGTATTGAGGAGAAAAGAACGATCAACTGTGTCAAATGCTGCTTTGCAGGTGAAAGCAAAACAAGGACTGAGAACAACCGTTAGATTTATTTAGCAAAGTGGGGGTCATTGGCGAGGGCAGGTATAAACATATGCAACTTAAAAATCTATAATAATTAGCTTTACCTCATTTCACAGTTAAATGAGTTAATACATGTAAAAGCACTTAGTGCATGGCACATGGCAAGCACACACTGTTAACTATTATTAATAATTAACCTTTTAAAACTAGTCAATACTATATCCTTATGCAAGTTTTAAGTTAAAACAGTGTCTTACAATTGAGGAAACAAGTTATTTTCAGTTTTTAAAATGTATTAAATTTCCCAACATTTGTCCCAATTTGCATTGTGACATCTGACTTCACCTTCATTAAAAACAAAAACAAACAAACAAAAAGATAAACAGGGGAAGGTAATATAGCTCAGTCGTAGAGTGCATGCTCTATTAGTGTGCACAACGTCCTGGGTTCAATCCCCAGTACCTCCACTGACCAGCCACCCCCCATCCCCCAATAAGATCAACAAAACAGGCTTCTAGAAAGGACGTAACAAATAAGTTCTATACATTATTTACTGTCTACATAAAACTTTCCCCTAAACTATTCAGACTTAGATCTTAAATTTCCAGAAATGCTTTTTTTTTTACATTCTATAATCTCCTTCAAAGAAAAGTTCTAATGTACAACTACCTTCTTATATTTTATCTTAAATATACATCTTTTGATAGAAAAGAACTGGTCACAACCTGTAATAATTAAGAAATAACAGTAACCAATAATAAATTAAAGATCCATCTCTTCTGTGTTTCCTCAAACATCATAGATATGCCATTTGCAATTTAAATCTTTTGCTGTTTTCACTAAATTTACTCCAAAGCTTCGCATTAAACTCAAGAAGAAACTAATTCCTAAAGCTAAGCGATTACTTATAACTAAGATCAAGTACTTCTATTTAATAACAGCACTAACAAATAAAAGCAAAATCTTCATATAAAAATTCAAAATTCCATACAGTAGTCACCTTTCATATAGGGAAAAAACTACATAAAGATACAGCTCTAGAGTTGACAACACTGCCAGACACTATATATATATATATATATCTTTCTTTTTTTTTTCAAGATGAAAATGTTAAATTACACAGCTTTTCTTCCAGGATAGCTGCTTCTAAAAATTATATGACCAAAGGCATTCTGAGACTCACAGGAGCCAGAAGATAAAATGGGGAGAAAGAGTAGAAAGAAAAGGAACCCAGAATGGCTCTTTCCTTCCTACTGTTGTCAGGTGTTAACATGAAGGTAGACAGATATAAGTAAGAATTTTACTATGAGAGAACTCTTTCATTTGACCACCATAAAGCACGCGGTAGGTACTTTCTTACTTAGCTAAGACGCTCACATCATCACCCTTTCTTCATTCTTTTTCATGAAGGACACCAGTGCGATAAAAAGGTGCTTTCTTTTCAGAAAATCCTTCACTTCCTTAAATTCTAAGCATAACTTTTCTGCAAAATTGTCTTCTATTTTCACTGGGCTATATATATTATATGAAATGAGAAGTTCTGAAACTTTTCTATTTGCCTCATTTGTTCTATAGTCTTATTTCTAAGACAACTTTATTATTTTGGTATTATTTTGGTTTATAACTACAGCAATTTCAGTGTGTCTGAAGACTCAGGGTACAAAAGTCCCTTCTCTCAACCACTAAGTCTTTGAATTTCTGTACCGTTTGCACGTGTGGTGGGTGAATTACAGAAGACTGAGCTGTCTGGATGACCCCCTGAACCTGTACTTGCTCTCCAGGAAGAGGTACAATTGTCACTGGCGCAGATCCTCTTAATGACATCTAAGAACAAATAAAAATCCAATTAACATAATATATATTATACCTATGCACGTAAGATAGCTGAGTTCTTAATACTGGAAAACACATTTCAGAGCTTATTACCTTTAACTATATCTATTAATCACATATTAGGCATCTCATGCGGGCTGGAGACTGCACTAGGGGATTGAGAGTACAACAAACAGAATAAGAGCTATAATATAAGTAGAAAAGTAGGAAGTACTGCACTATAGGAGCAAAGAAAGGTGGTACTGCAGCTGGGTCTTGAAGGATACACAGTTCTCTGGGGGATGGGGCTGGATGGTATCTTGGGCAAAGAAACTGAGTATAAAAACGTGGCTCTTTAGAACATGTTATTCTAAAGAGATCTGGTTGAAAACCAATCAAGAAATCAAGAGTCAAAAAAGTTAGAAAGATACCAACTTTGGGCAGTGTCTCTTAAAGAAAAATAAATTATAATGTCATGATTCAGTTATTAAATTTTATTTCTGTGGCAATCAGATGGGGTTTCATGTAAAAAACCGCAATAAAATGCTAAACCAAGAAAAGCCCACCCATCATCCTTTTAAGACTCAGCTCAGCTTTCTACCTCTTCCAAGAATCTTTCCCAGATATTTTGAGATCTCTTGCCTTCCCCTGGACTACCCTGGGTTCACTTCTCAGGTCCTGAAAATCACCTTCTTGACAGCTCCCCTCTTTTGTTTGCATCAGGCCCCCAAAACAGTGCCTTATTCCCTTTCACTGAAAGTTCTTTACCCTTTCCCAAGATTGGATAAATTCCAGTCTTACCATTCTCCCAAAATGCCCAGGTCGTGAAATACTATATATAAAATTTTATCCAGGTACTGAGAACTGCAAACTTTCAGCATCAATGACCCCATGAGCCTCCCTCACGCACTAAGAGACATGACCAAACTCTAGCACAGCTTCTATCAGCTCAAGGTTATGTTCCTAGGCTGACTCAGCCTCCTTAGAATGCCTGCCTGAGAAAGCTCAATGCTGCCAACATAACTGTTCCAGCCAAAACCTGACTATAGATCTTTGACTTCACTTTTTTAGGAGCATTTCCTTTAGAAAACTTGCAGTTGTAAATCCTTACTCTGACCCTTGAGATAGAAATCTTCTACAACCTAAAAATGTCTTTCTCAAGGACCTGGGAGTCATCCCTTTGAAATGCAGTTATCAAGGATAGGGCCCTTGCCTCCCAGACTCTGTGGGTGTGTGGGAGGGTAGGAGCCTAACTTTGATAAGCACCAATTAGCCAACACAGATGGCTTAATCACTCTGACCACCTCCCCACCTAACACCTTCAGTACTTTTTTCCTTTAGCACACCCCAGCATTTATAAAGGCACCCACCTTTTTGTTTCAGCAGACTTGAGCTCAGTTTATGCTAGAGTCTCTCTTCCCTACGGTGTTAGTCTGAATGAAATTTTCCAGCCTTTAGTAAGTGTCTGGCTCTGTTTCTCTGTAACAGTATCCCAAAATGGGGATACAGAAATTAATGAATTAAAAAAAAAAACAATTCATGACTCTTAAAGAGTCCTACTCTACAATTACCATTACACTGAGGTCCCCTCACTTTCAGACCCTAACTAAAGCCAATCACTCAATAATGAGAGCCTTTGATGGTGTTAATTTACATTTCTAAAATGATAAAAACAATCATTCCTCCATGGTTTCTTGCAATCCTTTTGATTTTGTGCAGACTGTGGGTCTTGCAGGTAGAAGAGGGGAAAAAAGCACTGTATCTATATATATCTAGTTTAGTAGCTCCTTCCTCTTATTATCACTATTCTAACCTCACTGAATGCTCATTACTCAGGGTCCGAAAGCCTGGTGTCTTCCCACTGCCACTGTCGAAAGTGATAATCTAAATCCTGAGATCGTTCTCAAAGAAGGAAAGGAAGGAGCTGCCCTCTTCACAACCCCAACTTTAACCTGAGGTTGAAACACAGATGACTGCCTCTATTACTTTTTGGTGCTACCAGAGCTTTCTGAAATGACTGACAGAAATGTTCTATGTCTGCAGTATCCAATATGGCAGTCACTAGCCACATGTGAACATCAAGCATTTGAAATACGGCTTTTATGACTAAGAGACTGATTTTTAAATTTAAAATTAAATTAAAATTGAAATATCCACTTGTGGCTACCATGTGAGACAGTACAGCACTAGATCTTCAGAACCTGTTAACACACTATGGTGCCAACCTCAGAACCCCTCTTAGAGATGTTAGAAGTGGAAAGAAAAGGATTCTTTTTTTTTTTTTGGAGCTGTAGAATCAAGCCCCATTTCCTCTCACTCCACGGGGTTAGCTGAGCTCACTCCTCTACAAGTGACTTGGCAAAAATTAGCATACTCTTTAGCTCCCTAATTAGGGGATCCCTTGACTGTAAACATTTGGGTGAGGGAGGGTGGGGAGTTAGTAGAGTGGCATGGGAAAGGAACCTCTATTTTTCAGAGTCTGAATCCAAAGTCTTCTAACTCCACAAAGGCACACAGACTATGGAGTCAGATAGGCTTGGGCAGATTTATACCATTTATGGCCTTGCCATAACTATATGGTAACTTAATAAACGAATTTATTTTATAAAAATAAATATGAAAACAATGTTATTAAATATTATAACTTAAAAGCCAAACAAACAATAATTTAAAAACTAATAAAAACTTCTTACAGTGGTCTACAAAGCCCTGCACAGAATGGCTCCTTCCTGCCTCTCCTGTTTGATCTGATACCATATTCCTCTAGTTCCACCTAAAGGGGAGTCTGATAGTCCTTTCTACTCCTTCCTACCAGAAGGCCTTACTTAGCATGATATCCCCTCACGTGCCCAGAAAGTCCTTCCCTTCCTTCTTGGAAAGTTAACACCTACTCATTTGTAAATCCACCTGAGCCACTCTGCATCCATGGGACTTGGAAGGCAGTCCCTTGAAACTGAGCAAACTTGAAGTTTATGCTTTTTGCTGTGCTGCAAGTTATAAAGTCCCTTCTTTCTGAACCAGGACTCTGATGTCTTCTGCCAGCATCCATGAAACTGAGACAATCTAGCTTAGTAGCTTGCAGGCAGGGTAAAATCTTAAACATTTTACGTTTCTTGACACTTCTCTTTCCTCTGCTTCTTATACTCTAAAGACTCTAGATTCTAAATCACCAAGCCAAAATCTGAAGTAGAGCAAGAACAAAAGAGTAAACAAACAAAACCATTTATCAAGGCAGACTTGAACTGCTCTCAAAGGAGAGGGGGTCATAAAAGGCCAGGATTTTCTCTAGGGAAAGATAGGAGACCCCCTATTAAGCGGGAACTTTCGAAGGGCCATATCCCTCAGGATAAGGTAACAGAAAGAAAATTGCATTGGTATGGAGGAGGGAAGGGCTGAAGATGATGTAACCAGCTCTCCGCAGATTTAGTTTAAATTAACATCACCCAGATGAAAAGACAAAAAGCCTCAAATCCTGAAAGTGGTTCCCCAGGCACCTGGCAATAGTAAATTCTTTCTGGAGAAAGGCAGCTGCATCCTTGGCCACAAAAGATTTAATGGATAGTAAAGAATATTAAAATAACCAATTATACAAGGCACCTGGTGCAAGAAGCAAAAACAGCACACAGCAGAAATACGACATTATCAATATTACTTAGGTCTAATCAGTATCAAGTGATGATAAGTATCAAGTAATATCAATAGTATTAAGTGACTAACATTATCAGACACAGATTATTAAAATAATTATGCTTATTACTATGTTTAAACAAACAGTAGAATATGTTTCAAGACAAGCTTGAAAATACCTTCAGGAAAAAGAAAACTACAGTAGATTTGAAAAAGAACCAGATTTTCTAAAAACAAAGATACAATACTTGAAAATTTAAAAATCTCGATATACCAAACAAAGCTTAAAGGGAAAATTAGTGAGCTGGCTAACAAGAAAAAATTATCTGAACTGCAAGAGAGAGAGAGAAACAGATGGAAAACATATGAGAGGTTAAAAGATATGAATGAAAAGGCCAAAGAGAGTAGGACAGAGACAAAATGTGAAGAGATCATGGCTGAAAACGTTATAGAAATATAATGACAGACATCAATCCATAGATTCAAGAAGCCCAGTAACTGCCTTGTGGAATAAACAATTCTACACCTAAACACGATATAATGGAAGCTGCAGTACAACTAAAGGTACAGAAAAAATTCAGAATTCTACACCCCATGAAAATATCTTAAAAATGAAAATGAAATTGGTATTTTCAACAAACAACAAAGAAATCACTACCATCAGCAGACTTAACATCAAAGTAAACTCTAAAGCAGTGGTTCTCAACCAGGAATGGTTTTGCTCCCCCAGGGACATCTGGCAACATCTGGGGACATTCTGGGTTGTCACAATTGTATGTTGATACTGACATCTAGTGGGCAAAGGCCATGCTGCTAAATATCCCACAGTGCACAGTACTGCCACAACAAAGAATTATCCAGCCCACAATGTCTACAGTGCTAAGGTTTTTCTAAAGCAAATACTTAAGGTAAAAGAAAAGCAATCTCAAATGAAAGCTGAGACATGTAAGAAGAAATGAAGACAAAAGAAAATGATAAATGTGTGGAAAAAAGCAAATAATGATGAATACATAAAATAATTATGTTTTATGGGATTAAAAGAGAAAAAAAACATTAAAACTCAGGTTTCTGGGGGCAGACCTGGGGAGAAGACTTGGTGTGGCTGCCCAGAGACAGCCCACAGGGCCTGGAATGTGGTCCAGGTTGCACCTGGGGGTATGCGCAGGATGGAGCCCAGATTCACAATGGGCATGGCTCTGCTGCTACAAGCTCTGGGGTGGGTTGCCCACACATGGAGGTGGGGCTGAAATCTGAGCCAAATCCTGGTGCTCCTACATCACATACAAATGTGAGGCTTCCATGGGTTTATACTGGTGACTGTGATGATAGCACCCAAGGGACATGTGAGCCAACCACTGGCATTCCTACAGCTGAGGCAGACAGGT